AGCAACATCGTCTGGCAAACACCCAATGTCACGGGATACCTGCACATTACAAACAGTGGAAACAAAGCATGCAATTTAGTGGGTGGCCTCATTACACATCAACTGAAAGTCCCACACACACGCACAATTGTCACCACTGTACAACAGTGAACAAGCATCATACACAGAGAGCAGCGAAATGCCCCGGGCACTGGTGAGCTGAATATCCCGACCACTTTTGCCAATCAAAGTCGTGTTTGTTGTGAATTGCTGGGGCCCCGCGTAGCGGCGTGTACACGCAAGACTCTTGTATACGGACCAGAACAAGAGTTTGGAAGACCAAGTACGTCATGCAGGGCGCTCGTTCACCGTGCATTCTGGAGGCCGCTAAATATAGTGCACTTGACAACGACGCTGCGATGGACGACTTCCTGCGACAAGAGAGGAACAACAAGACCCCGGCGTACCTTTATGGCCATGCGCAGTGCTTTCAGGTCGCTTGCTTCCAGCAGCAGTTGGAAGATGTGCTGGCGTTGCAGGCTGCTCTCGTACGCCAGCTCCAGCACCTCGTTGTTGTTCTGCAACTGTCTTGTCTGCAGCGCCAGGCGGTCAGCCATGTCCTTGCTCTCGGCCAGGGTCACCGACAGAACATTCATCTCGGCTTCCTGGCACATCATCTAGAGTGTATGCAGACAACAATAAAAAACAAACACGCCGGTCCAGGCATCCACATATGAATAGACAGAACGGGCAAGCATTCCTTCAATTCATCAAATACCTCTACACGCTTCCAAACAAAATTTTACTTTCCGTGACAAATGTGACAATAGTCCTCCATCGGATAGTATTCCAAAGAGATAAGAGGACAGGAGGAAAACTCAAGACTCCCAAGAACCATCTGAATATCTCAATAACTACAAATTTAGCGGCGTCCGCTGCTCAAACTGTGCTCACGACGCACCACAATGACAACACGTACTGCAACATCCTATGGATGCTTAGATCTTGAAATTCACCATGCAGGGATTAGTACGGTGAAGACCGATTGCAATATTTACTCGGCTAGCCTGAGCTCCCTTGTTGGGTCTGGTTGACTAACACCCACACTTCCAAGGGTGCCGTCAAGCCAGGGCAGCGACAGTGTTTCATCTTGGGTACTGGATAAGTAGTCCATCTGATTCGTTCACAATCTCTGCGAAAGCTTTTGAAGGGTATTCGCGTATGACTAATGTGATTGGTTGGGCTCAGACCAGTGAGGTCTTTTGTGAAAGTTGTGTTGTACCACCCGCCCTTTGGTATCAACCCTGTACTTGTATGTATATTGAGAGCTGAGCTCCAGATAAGCAATCTACCATGTTTTTTCGAATTTCTGCTTCCTAGCTGGATGCTCTTCAAGAAAATAACGCAGACGCCCCCAGTCAACTTCTGAATGCCGTTCGATGCCTCTGCACTTCACAGTGCAGCCTGCCTGCACGTGTATGGAGCGGCATGCGACGCCTACGTATCCTGGTCCATCATGTAGAGACAGCAACAACCGTGACAAGCACCAGCGTATGAGTGTACCTACTAGAGCAGCAGTTAAGTATGGGTTCCTCTCGGTTAAGTATGGGTTCCTCTCGGTTCAGTGTATTTGAAGTACGGTTGTTACTCACCTGACTCTCTAGGCGTTCGTTTTCCAGCTGACTGTGTTTCAGTTCCTGTTCAAAGTAGGCCGTCGTGTGAACGGACACAGCACGGATGATGTCATCGATGGAAGCGCATTGCCGCAGCGCCGTGTCCAGCTGGTCTATCTGCCCGGCATTGAACTGCTCGCCGACAAGCTGCACCGCATACCCCGCACACGATCAAACATACTGTTAAATATGAGCCGCAATGAAGACGACATACCCGCACGATCACACATGATTTTAATAAAAGTGAGAAGTAATGAAGACTGTACTATATCCTTCACGCGTACACCCTGGGTTACGGGTCTTCCGCTTCAAAGGTGTGAGCACGCATGCACGATAGCAAAGCCGCCGGCTATGGTGCTTACACAGTTGGTACCATTCATTTTCAGTTTCAACGTAAACTGCACAATGTGGATTCGGATCACTTTTCTCTACGAGGATCAAGTCAATTTTCTAATAGCTTGCAGACCCCTTGCAGCATAGTTGGCGTGTTACACATCCACACAATTCACTCATACATTCCCTTACTAGCGCTCACATGTATATTTGCTGTGTTTAGTTCAATGAAATGCACTGTGTCTAATCCTCGCAAGGAGTATTTGAAGTATGGAGTATCGGAGTATGGAGTATTTGGAGATATAATTGGAAAGGAGTGGTAATATATGTGCTTGTACTAGTATTGCTAATGGGATTTCAGTCTTCGACCACTTGGTAGTGGGCCTGATCTACTCACCTCCCACCGTTTAGGCGCTGCATCTGCGCCTTTGATCCTAGAGGGTGGTGGCATTCCCACGACGGATGCGGAAAACTGGGCTTCCAGCCGAGTCTCACGCGAACCGTGAAATTTTTTATATATTTTTATTGCATCCTTTTTAAGAACTGCATTGCATGCAGAAAAGCAAGGCAACTACAGCTAGGGGTGCATTTCTAACCTGTGATAGCTCTGCCTGTCTCTGCATGGGCACTCCGCTGTGTGCCGGCGACACGGGCAGGTGAGAGTCCTGCTGTTGGAGCCACTCGGCCGCGCGGTCCTGGTATGTGGTGACGTCACCGGCGCGACTGGGACTCGAAGTCAGCGTGGAGACCTTCAGCGAGACGGAGAGGTCGTCGTCCGGTGTTGATGCCAAATAGGCATTCTCGATCTTGGACACGGACTTGGACTTAACCATGGCCACGCCGGCCTGATTCGTCTGCAAAGAACACGGGCAAGAACGAAACAATACACACACTCGTGTTGATACTACAAAACAACAATACCGGCAGGCACCAACCAGCTAGAACTGTCTCTGCATACCCTGGAACGCAGAGACCTGGACCATTGCACCATGCCGATTCGACCAGACAGAACAAAATCCAGCAGAGGAGCGGCAAAGAGTTTAAGAATGCTATGCCGCTCAAACCCGCCACGGGGAGTTGTGAATATTTGGACTTTGTATGCCTTGTGACTCCACTCACAAAGTACATGTCTTGCGATGCATGCTGCAGCTGACGCTCGTCTAGATGGACGGGAGGGTTGCTGGTGGAGGATCGACGGCTGTGTGTCTTCTTGTCCGTGGCTGGCGGTGGTGCTCCTGAACTGCCGACTTGCGAGGGAATGTGTGACTGTATGGTGAGGGCCACGTCTACTTGACTGGTCAGTGCGGCTAGCTTGTCATTTAATGCATGACACTGCGGGCATGGCCTGCATCAAGAAAAGCAGAAAAACACAAACCCACCGATTACCGTATACCCCATTTGTAGCACAGCGACCGGTAACTTATGTCGCACTCATCGATCATTATAAGCATGCGCAAGAAAATGTATCTTTCTCTAAGGCATCAACTTCTTTGTGGCACGGTTGGCCATTGCAGCCATCGTCGTATGGCCGACGTTTAACCCTAAACATTCAAGCGAAGTGGTTGCTACTACGTCACACCTCCATGCTAACGGTCATCTGCTTTAGTGTAAGCCTTACTAGCAGAGGCAGGGGATACAATTTTGTCTGAATTCTGCGGTGCACTATGACTTAGAATGCTAGTACGGATGACTGCATTCCATTTCTCCCAAAATTCCGCCTAAGGGCATTTGTGTTTAGCAATCATTCAAACATCCCGCAGTTATAACAAGTATGAAAGCATTTGGTAGTAGGGGCTCTTGGCCCAAGAGAACTTAAAAGGTCGGAAAGACTGGGTCAAATTCAACATGGCAATACCCGCAAAATCTCACCCCTGATTAGCCTTCTGAAGCTGCGGTAACGCCTGCTGCTTGCTCATCTCGGTCTTCACCGTTTCGACAGCAGCGAGCTTCTCCTCCTCTGCTACCTTGAGCTGGCCACGCAAGGCGCAGCACTGCTGGCGCAGATCCTCAATGTCCGACGAGCACAGCTCGATCTGGCGCTCGTAGTTCGAGATGAGTTGTGCCCGGTCATCCAGTGTTTGCTTGATGGTGGTCTCCATGCCGCTGATCTTGCCGTGGGCCTGGCTTAGCTGGTGCTGCAGATTGTTGACGGCCGTCTTCAGTGATTTGATGGTGACTTGATGAATCTGTAGTGCATCACACAGTGCCAGGCAAGAGTTAAAATAAATACATTTCACGGTTCACGTGAGACTCGGTTGGAAGCCGAGTTTTTCGCATCCGTAGGAATGCCACCACCCTCTATAATTATAGGATCAAGAGTTACACGCATCATGATTAACCAGTACATACCGCTTTCAGTCGCCCGTTTCAAATCACCCGTTTCAATCACCCGTTTCAATCACCCGTTTCAATCACCCGTCTCGAACCATACTAGGAGATAGTATGCCCCTTTCAGGAGAATCACAAGCAGTGAGTGAGCGCCAATTACGCAACAGTGCAATACCTACTAATGTGCGCACCATGCCAGAATACGAAGAATGGGAGTAATAATGAAGCCCAATTTTAGTAATATCAAGAAGAATTGCAATGATGGAGCACGTCACCTAGTCATGTCAACACTCACCTTAGTCGCAAGCTCAGACAAGTCCGTGGTGGTCATGTCCACCGAGGAGATCAGGTCCTGCACCACTTTCCTGGCAATGTCCGCTTCCCCATTGCCGCTACTCACACCGCTGGCAGCCACGGCGGCCGCACTGGCCATGTCGGCAGCGGCCTGCGCAGTGGCGGCATCCACCGGCAAAGCCTGCTCCTGTGCCGGCTCGGCCTTGTCCTGCCTGGCCGCCGTCCTCGCCATTGCCGCCGGGAACTGCATCTCACTGATATGCATGAGCTCTCGGTCGAAAATGTCTGAGCCCGCGCCGTCCAGCATAGAGGATGAGGTCGTTTCGCCTGTACTCGGAGTACTCGCTTTGCTGCTGGCGGCCATTTCGTCGTCGAGAGTGGACCGGTACCAGGCCAGGAACTGCTCGAAGCGAACGCCGCCGGGGGAGCCGGCCCCCATCTCCTCCGCGATCTGGTCCGCGAACGAGGACAGCTGCAGCTCCTGGCATACTTTCGCCACATCCTCCCTGCACAGAACAGAACACACACACACACACACACACACACACACACACACACACAAGCGGAGAATTGTCAGTGCTTATGCCACAGTCAATCAAACAGACCGTTTTCTCATCCGAAGGAACGCCATCGCCCTTCTAAAAGAACAACAAAGTGATGAATATGCTGCAGTGGAGCACCTAAAGGTACACATGATAAGGCTAGATAACCAGGTGTTAGCCGTGTTGTTGTGCTACCACAAAACTTGTACTTTGGTTTTGGAGTGGCGCCGCTGCTGAAAACCGGTTAAATTAAAGACACATAACGCTACACATCATGACTCGTGTGGGCCACTCAGGAAGGAAACGCAAGCATGCGTTTTGAGGAGTCAGGACATCAGTACGGATATGTGACACACGGTGTACACCTGGGGGCGTTTTCGTGTCTGATGATCATTGTGTTGCTTCACGGCGTTCAAACGTGCAGCTATGGAGCAGCACTACCTTAGCACAGCATACCCCCTCCCTGGCCAAGGAGTTTCGTATACGATGCTACGCACGGACCTAGCCACACCCCATGTCACAGCGTGCTTTTAAAGACTCGCGATCGGCCAACTCCCGTGTGACAGAGCTGTGATGGTGTGACAGTCACATGGCAGCAGTAACTCATCAGGAGCTCTCCACCGCACACCCAGAATACCGCAAGTGTACTGCTCCATTAGTCCGCAGGAAGATGGGTGTTACAGGCGAGTGCAAGAGGAATGGGCTCATTTACAGCGTTGCTCTGGGGGTCTACAAGGAAGTGTTGACATAACCTGTACAGGTGGAGTTAATCAAAGACTTAAGCCATCCAAAAGTCACAAGCAAGTGTCAGTAATCAGTGTACAACTCATGCTCTGCACATGAAGGCCATGTCACCTAGCTGACTGGCATGTGCTAATTAGGCGACCTGTCCAAGCCAATGGTCTGGGAGACAGCCCGGGGAATGCCAACTTCCTCTTTCTGCTGCCATGGTCAGGACACACACACACACACACACCTACACACCTAAACCACAGCTAGATGAAGATCATTGCTACACTCACTACACACTAGGTGTCTGTCTTACTTGGACTGAATACCAACAGTTCCCTTGCCTAGCCAGAACCATCAGACTCTCAGAGCACATTTCGGTCAGTCTGCACACAGTTTTCCACATTGGTCGCACGAAGCAGCTCAGTGCCTGCTCACGGCAGGTCCCAGTAGGTGTCGAACCCAATCCCAAAACAAGACTGACAGCCAGACACCCCATGCTACTATACCAATTGGAATTCGAATCAGACTATGATTTGTGACTAAGTACATGTAGCTCAAGCTTTGCATTGCATTGTTTTAGGTCTGGCTTTGTGGTTTTCTTTTCTTTTCACGAACTTCCTGGAACACTCCAAACACCTTGAGAAGAGAGGAGTGTCATGGGGGGGGGGGGGGGGTGGCACTGTGACCGCACATAATCATCATTTCCAGCCCCTACACACAGCCACAGAGACTTTTGGGCGGTCTGGTCACCCCAGGTGACTACTCCCACGTACCCGACCACTGTATGCACTCAGTCAACACTACTAATCCACCATGACCGTAGGCCCATTACTTGGGCTGAGCAGAAGAGTAAGAAATGTGGAGACTATACATTACCCAAAACACACTCCGGTACATCTACTGAAACTGCACTGTGAAAGGTAAAATCATGTACAACACCAAACATCAGCATCATAACTTGCCGATAAGTTGCCCGGTCAAAATGTGTTCTACACGGTACAGTGTCAGCCTGACTCATACCCCCAAGCACTACCAGGAACAGTGCTACACGCGTTTCAGTATTACGTCTTGCCATGCCATGACTGCATGAGCACTGAAGATGATAGCGATAATGGGGGGGGGGGGGGGGGGGTAGAGATAAGTTGCACACCAGTCAGGTTACACCCTGATAACTTCACAACTCAAGTGATCTCCAAAGGAGGCTGCTGCATGGCAAATTGAGTTTTCGCCGCATGCCATAGTCAGAGTCAGGTCAGGCCGTGCCCAAGTCAAGTGCGGTGATGGCATGCATAGCCAATACTCAATAGCTAGCATGACAAGTTAGTTCATACTTGTACCGTCCTGACTGTCTTAGTGGGTGTCATGTACATCATGGTGTTGAGTGTCCTGAATGAGACCATAATAAAGCAACTGCATTCTGACTTGAAGAAAAAATGGTACGAGAGGCCTAGTCGAAACTAGAATGGCTTCTGTGCTTTGTATGCTGGTTTGTCCCCCCCCCCCCCCCAACCAAGAATCTATACAGTGGTGGACCCTATACTCCATGGGATGAAAATAATACTTGTAATTCACACTGCCACCACAACTGCTAATTCTTCATACAGATTTGTTTCTCTTTGCCTCGCCCTGTGTAGGTTATTGCCTTTTGCTATTTTGCATAGTTTTTGCTTACTGCCATGGCTGGCTACCCCCCCCCCCCCTCTCCCCTCCCATATTGGCCTATATTCCCTGGCCATGGGAAGGTGAAATAGATGAAAAATAAGAAAAATGGCAATGGCCATTGACCAGAAGCAACACTGCCATTGTGATCAGCATCACCGACAGCATACTAGCACTGTGGCCTGGCCTGGCCCATACTCACAATAGACAATGTCTTGTAGTATGATGTACCTCATTGCCAGGCATTTTGCATCCGCTGGCTGCGACCCAACAAGGAAAACTGTCCCCTGGGCTGCATGGCGTGGACTTCAGTTTGTGGAGCAGCACATGCCCAGAGCAGCGCTAGGAGTTTCCCAATCAGTGTCAACACTGGATACCTGTGCTTTTCCATTCAACAATTGTGCCGGGCTATTTTTGTTGTCGCCCAAATAACTGAGTAGTATTAGTACGTGGTCAAATTCAGGTGTTTCGTACTGCCCAACTCCACAACTCTTTACACAATACAACTTGAACTTGAAGTGACATGGCAGCACAATCAATGTACACTGTACCTATCCCTATCCACTTAGCACGGCAGTGAATGTACACAATTTCATGTAGACCATGGAATGCTGCTGCTTGACCTGCCCATGTCAGATTGTGGTTGCTGTTTAGATCAAATTGAAAATTCTATTCCCCTATTAGTTGGCCAGTAGATCTTGTTACTGTTCATCAAGCCTGGGATAGACTATGCAACCAGCTCAATAGTCTAGATTATAATCTGCACCAATAGATATTCATTGTTGCTCCGTGACCCTCAACTGGGCTGATGTAACCACAGAATCCAGCTGGCACAGTGGCAGCGACATCTTTGCGACGAATCTACCCCGTCGCCTTGTTATCTACCATACACACACGTGCTGCAGGACGTTCGCACTCGAATGATACAAAAGGGCAAGTTGTTCACTGTCCATTTCTCCGGGCGCTTCGCCATCATGCACCGCGACACTATTATTTTCACTCAAACAATGCTTATTCGTTTCACTTTCTTCGAGGCCTAACGAGTAGCATAAACCATTTGTAAAGTCACTAGAACATCTTGCCGGGCACCTCGATGTATCAATCTGCCAGCGCAGATATGCGTGAAAGGACAAAGTAGAGAGCGAGGGAGCACGCATGTTGACGCTATCGCACCACAAGTGCGTCTCCTTCGTACCTGTGGCGCCATTTTGTACTCTAGCCTTGGTGGCGTTTGAGCTTATCGCGACTCCCGTCGTCCCAGCCCGGCAGCTCGTTCGACACCTTGACGCGCTCTTGCGACGTCGGCCACTCTCTCCGTGGAGAGGGCACCGATTTTCGACTCACTACATTAGGACAATCCGCAGTCTCATCGAAATAAGGTTACACAGATTATTTTGAGTACGAAGACATCGAAGCTTTGTGAGCTATGGAGTATGGCGTGTGTGAGAGGCAAAGTGGGGATGGCGCGGTGAGAAGCCCGGCTGACCAGATGACCTCGAGACGTCACAATGCTGTAGGCCAAGTGAGTGAAACCATCGCTCCCCACTCTGCGTTTGGGAAGATATCAGTCATTATGGCTGAGCCGTCCGCTCCATTGTAGTGCGACTAATGATCTCACTACTCACTCGATCTGTCGCTTTTAGCTAAAATTTAGGATCTAGGAGCGAGCGTGGAGTTTGACCGACCCGTGAGCACAAAAAACAACAGCTGCAGCGCCACACTCGCGATCGCTGCTTCCTTCGGTCAACTAACGTCTGTCCTACAAGCTGTTGAGACCGGCCGTAGTCCAAGGGTTCACGCATTAGACCATTATGTCTTCGTCCGTGTTCCACCGTCGCTGGTGATTTGCCTAAAACGAGCAAGGCACGCGATCGAATGCCATCACGAGCTGGAGAGAAAGCATTGAAGCTTTACCGACTGGGAGCAGTAGCAATAGCAGTAGCAGGATGTTGCTGAGAGGTTCACGAGATCATTCAAAAACGGCAGCCTGCAAACTGCCGCAGTACTACGACTACTAAAATAACGAGGAAGAAGGGAAATGCCGCAGAACTGTTACTTCAGAAGTGCATAAGCGACATACCTGGTAAGTCCGTAGATCTACGCGTGCCAGCCTGGCTAGTATGCATGCATGCATGCACGCAAAATCACGGAAATCGCCGATGACGCACGTGCTCAAGAATCGTAACGCCGCAAGCCACAGAATGCAAAGCAGGAGAGGATTTCTTTTTACAACGACTAGACGACGTTCCTCAGCTCAGCTCCTTAGTTTGACGCAGATACACTCTGCACCTCTGCTAGCTGTTCCTCTGTGCTGCTGCAAGAACGAAGGAAACAGGATGGCCGATGCCTAGTGGCCACGAGCAATGCCGCGAAGTCTTTTGCTGCGTCTTGCCAGGCTGATGGAGCGTAGTTCCTCGCGCGGACCCATCCGAGTTGCGAGTCCTCCGCGCCGCAAGTAGCCAGTTGGCGCGCGCCGCCACAGGAAGAAGTAGAACTTCTGTAGGAACGCGGTTGTTGGCCGTACGACCAGGCCTCAGCAGCAGCTCTAGTTTCTTCTCTCATCGCAGCAGCGTCGCTAGGATGAGCGCTTACATGCTGCTGTGTTGGATCATTAGCTCGAGCTACAATGCCCGCGTGCAGTCAGCTGTAGGTGGCACAGAAGAAACCCTTCCTACGAACGAACACAAACACGACTCGGTTATTCGACACTGCTTTGTCCATCATGGTCGTAAGCCGAACAAAAACGAAAACCAAACCGAAGGTGAACCTGAGCTGGCTCAAAAGCTCATTAATTTTCGTAAAAATTAATTTTCGGCAAAGCTACAATGCTTGTACATGTACGTACATGCTGGCAGCACGCATGCAAACAACTAAGAAAATACGATACGAAACCGTAAACAACACGTACAAGAAAAGGGGCTCGGTTGGTAACACATCATCGTCCGCAAAATCGTGTCAGCATACACGCTGATAATTATCTGATACTGCATGCGACAAGAGTTGCAGCAACGCCAAACTACCATCATCCGCAGCTGTAGATAAACCGCGACGGGAGTCAAAGGCATTTCTGTCACACAGAAACCGTGTCGGTAACACTAACAGCTCGTCAGTACTACATTGTACATCACTGATTCGATCAAGCCCAGCAACACACATTCTACACTGCACTCCACAGAGGCGTAGATCCAGGTCTACACAAACACTGAGAACGTGGGATCCCAGGACACGAACCAGATGCACTGTTTGGCTACAGTCACACTACACACACACACACACACACACACGTAGATCTACACACACGCTTTCAGCACTCGGTCGAGACACCATCCTCTCGCACCTCCACCTCAACGTTTCGGAACACCTGCCGCAGATGCAGGATCTCACTCATGCCATGCCGCAGTAGCGATAGCAGGAGAACAGCAAAACTACACACACACACACACACACGTGGAGACACAGCATGGTGTCACTCTCAGCCACTCCTCAACTCACAAAAGTCAAAACACTGGTCCTAAAAAATTATGCAATCGGTGAACAGCTCCGATCCGTGCCACTCACCTCATCATCACGCCACCGTGCCCACAGCAGGCATCGAACAGCTTCCTTGCAGCTTTCTCCATTTCGCCGCCGCGAGTCAACGCAGCAAGACCACTGCTCCCGCTACCACTACTCAGCGACTCACTCATCTGCTGCTGGGGTTGCTGCTGCTGCAAAACCTGCTGTATGTTGGCCAAGTGAAAGTGCTTGCCACTACTGCCACCCGTACCCGCAGCGTACCCAGAGCTAGCAGCCGCCGTGATGGAATTGGCTGTGACGGCTGCGACCGTCGCTGTCGTGATGATGTGCGAAGCCATGGTCGACGCTCAGATCGATCAGGGGTTCAGCACAATCGACTAACCAACACGACGAGTGCGACAGCAGCTGACCGACTGTATAATTTAAACACACACTGCAAGGGACAAGGCCAAGGACAAGGGAGCAGCAGAATAATCTCCAATGATGGCGTGATGTCGACACTGCTGCTGCACTGTGCAACAAATGGTCAAGATGCGACTTCGTCCAATTCCTTCGCTAGTCGGGGCTCAACTTCTGCGAGATCGTGTCTGCAGAATGCCGCGGGCCTGCCAATCTCACGCTCTCCACATTGACCGAAGCTTCAGCTATAAGCTTGCCTCAATGGGCACTGCTACTAGCTGGTGCTGGGGGGAGAAATTTCATTCATTTGTCGACGTACTTGTGCAGTATCGAGACCGCGGGTGGACCAATATCTCACCAATACAAGTCATTGATCAGTTTTACCTGACTTTGAGTTACGTTAGGCTACTGCAGAATGTCCTTTGAAGACCTTCGGTGCCAGTACTCAGGACATACACCACTCACGGAGCTCACACTTACACACTACCTGTCTAGAATCAGAAATCAGAAATCCTGAGGTGGTCCCTCCAGTACACAAACTCATGACATGGTGGCCGCAGGGAAATCAGTGGCAGCTCGGTACGTCTGCCACACGGTTTGCCGTAAAGCTGTGGCTTGGTCCCAGGTTACAACGTACACACTAAACGACCAATCACGTCCACTCTCTACATCCCGCGATAGTTTTCACCGACCACCGCGTAGCTTTTAGCGTGACTAGTGACACGATGGGAAGTAACACAGGAGAGGTTTGGCCAGGATCGAGTAGGATAACAAGTGGCCTTTCTCTCCGATCTGATGAACACAGAGGTGACAATTAGCTAGTGATCCGAGGACAGCAGGAAAACGTTTGTAGTGGCCGATCCAAGCGAACAACTCTACACTCCACCGCTCAGCTTCAACACTGGAAGTAAATAACGCAGCATGGATGGTTGGCAAAAGCAGTGGTCAAATCAGTCAGCCCATCTGATTCCCTACTTGTCCAGGCTCCCATTGATCAGACGTAAACTCCCAGTGCAGTCAGCGTCTACACCATGTACTAGTACTACTTCCCGAGTCTGTGCAAGTGCAATCAGCATGTTTAGGCTGATACCTGTGCAGGCTGTGCTCAGTGTAGTCTTGGCAGTCAACGGCTAGTACTCAGTCTCAGTACTAGTAGTATGGGGTACTGCTGGCGAGCGCCGCATTCGCAGACTCCTCCTACATCACCCGTCTCTCACACTCACAGTCACAGCACAGCACTGGCTCAGACCTGAGTAGGTGGTCTGCTGCATGTGACTACCGACCGTGGATCTACATGACGCGAAACACAAGCCAGTGCAGCCACAGGCACAGCTGTACAGGTTCTGGCTGTGCTGTGGTATGTGTATGGGAGTACAGTGCGGTCGTCAGCTTCCCTCCATCGTCTGGTCTGCGCGCGCATGCACCGACCATCACTGTTCTGGCCTGCCTACGTAGATATACGTGTACATCTGCCTTACCTGGCCTCGCTCAGCCTGGCCTGCAGAGCAGCAGCAGCACAGCTCAGATACCAGGATGCTGCCATAAGCCATAACCATGATTGCTGGCGATGGAGTACCTCAGTCTGTAGAAGGTGTCCAAGTCACCAACGCCGTTCGGCTGTGTTGTCTCTGTTTCAGTGTTTGGTGTACAGACCCTAGCACCAGCTCAAACATCAAGCCCGGCCTAGCACAGTAGCAGTACAACACAACATGTACGTATTATACATGATTGCTGGCATATCGTCAACAGAAGTGCCACTACACCATTGCCATACAGAATGACCGGTGAACAGGTACGATAGGAAGTTGGAGCGTCCAGCTAAGCGTGAAGTGAGACGACGTACTGGCCCTCATGCTCAGCCTGTCACTGTTGTTGCTGCTGCACTTGCAGTGATCTCCATTCCATTTACACCAGCAGCAATGCAACTCCCAATGGGTTCTGGCAAATATTTGCCATTTCTTTAAAACAAAAAATCGTGTGCTGAAGACCCTGTCAGTCCCTCTACACCCTGACGTGCACATGTGGCCTGCCGCAAAGCAAAGAGTCTAGAAAAATGATTGTCTCCAATATCTCTGATAGCCTTCTGCTCATGACAATGAAATGTGGTAGCGCTCATCGAGATTCTAGGGAGGCGGCGCCGATAGTAGATGCATCCGCGTGGCGTATCGACCTGCATGGGAAAGTGTAGTCCGGTCACGTACAAAGTCACGGGTACGAGTTAGCTGCAATGGCACTTAACCATTCTAGTTCTCTTCTCACCATCGATGGTGTGAATATATTGTGTTCCCTTTGAACTATTGCACCGATGGTTTTACCACTACTGTTACGGACAGGCCTCCGCTCAGGATGGAAGCCCTCGCTGCACTGTTGACAACCTCTATCACAATGTAGAAGCCACATTGCATGGTCCCCGGCCTAGCTCTAGCCTTTCACCAACGTGGAGTGTTTTAACTCTTTGTTGCCATCTTCAATGTAGAGTGTTTTGTGTGGCGTACATGTAGATCTGCGAAGTGTGGATAGTCTTTAGAAAAGTGTATCCCAGACTCGCATCACTATAACTGGGGAGTTGAGGACACCGCGCCGTGTTCAGAGATGCAATTACACGTACACTCCGGTGCATGCATAAGACTATCATCACACATGTTTGAGGGTACCAGCAGCACCATGTCTCCTTGTGCGTAATGCGTTTTTAAGAGAATGGCGTACCATGCCAGTACACGCAAACGAGTGTTCACCGCCGATACAACGTACACGTACACGTATGAGTACTCAAATGACTAAGCAGCGCAACGAGCTGTTAGTTAACGCTCCAAATTTAACAATAGCGATGCCATACCTGGCTACATTTTATCGCGCTCACAAAGCAATACTACTGGTTCGCAGTGTGTCCATAGAACACCAATATTCGTACTGCTAGTAATGGCTGCATGACAGTATGCGCTGACTATGTATAGCTACATGTACAGTGCATGGCTGTAGGTCACTGAAGAGCAGTGATCCAAAATGGTGCCGCGCTAGGCGACGCATCAGCCCCGCTTCCGTCCAGGAAGCCTCGCTGCAGTCGAAGCGTCAACAACAGCCGCTGCACAAGAACACGTCCTGCGCGCCCCATTACAATCCTAGGCTATACACACACGGACTGAGAACATTTTGCTACATGCTCAGGGAATCCTTTCTGTGTCCGCCGGAGCACGCAGTTGTGAACGACCGTGGGCATTCGGCTCGGCTGTTTGCAGGAAGGACTCGTTCTCGACTCCACAGTACAAAGCCATCTCCTTCAAGATTCGCACAGGACACATGCGCGGATCGAATGCATCGTTCATGGTACACTATACTAGTCCCTGAAGCCAAGCAAAGTCGTCGAGCCACGCATAATGGAGGTGTGAGTGAGCTGTTGTATCCTGCGATACTGTGTGTCTGCATGCCGTGTTGTACAAACTACAAACTACAAACTACAATATCGTGCTCGTGTACACTGGTAGATCGTAGCAGTGTAGATTCCACGCACTGCTGATTGCTAGACGGACAGACAGAAAGTCAGACGCGCGCAGCGTTTGATGTTCTTGTCAGGCCTCGCGCGACTGCCAATGCCCGCTGGGAATGCGGTAGTCCCTTCGCCCCGGGGCTTGGATGTTGGGAGCTACGAACCAGTCGGAGGTGTTGCAGTGGTGAGCGGCGGAACACCAAGGGCACTTGCTGGCATGATACACTCTAAGATCCGGCTCGCATAATCCATTAACAAAGTGTTCACCGTTCCGAGCTTGTTATCTGTGACAACATGCGCCAACGAAACAAGCCTGGGACGTCGACGTTTCGCTTGTAAAAACATCGTACACTAGTACTTGTGCCGACGAACCGTTGCCGAAGCTGACACACCATGCTGTGTTGTGGTTGGAATGTCATCTGGAAGTATTTTTTTAGGCCATGGGGGCCACCGAGTCATCTAAAACACGGTACCACTGGGGCAGCGTAGTGGAGGATCGTCGTCCAAGTAGCTCAGAGTGCTTCTCCCAGGTGATGAAGCAACAACTGCTTGACACGTCCAGTGGTCAGCCTTGACACCATCGTCGCCCGCATGGCGTACACACGCATTGGGAAATTATGATTGTAGCGATTGTAGGCAATGATTATGATTTCAAAACATGGTATACGTACAGTGTGCAAAACAATACTCCAATACCCCAGCGAGTCTTAACGTTCAGTTTGTAACTTTGTACTCGAGTTTCATGCTTAGTCGTTAGCGAAGCAATCCTTCGGGGCCGGGGACAATGATTACTTTTTCTTGGAGTGCGTGTATTTAGTCTTCACGTTGCCTGGTTGCCTCAGAATGTCACTTGCCTGTCTGAAGCTAAATTTTGTTTACTAGTATTATCCCCGGTGTGCGTTTCGTTATCACCTTTAGAACATGTTGTCACTTTCAACTTCTTTGGGTATGCCATTTTTCTATGTAGAAAGTGCGCAATTGCGCCATTTTACCCTATAAATATACTCATTCCAATTTTATTTTGTTTTGCCCGTACATTTAGTCTTCACGTGCATGTGCAGTAACCCAATGCCGTAGACAGCAAGCTGCTAATGTCCATATACATGTACCTGTACGGGTACGTGTAGAATACGGAACGGTTTGGGGGTCCCTGTTGTTTTACCTTGGGTGTTGAGTAATGAATAATTATACAGCAATAGGTGCTGCATTCTTCTTCTATTCCGTTCTCTGCTGGACTGACTGTGCACTTCAGTATAAAAAAAATTGTGGGTGTCACTGTGATCCATGCTATCCTGCATGATTGGTCGCTTGTTGTGCGCAGAGCACCAGAGGCCCAAACGTATCCGACCGTTGGTTGGACGTCGTCAAGGAACGAAGACTGGCCAGCGAGGCATTCATGTCTGCAGGGTCTTAGGATCTTTCAACCCGTCCTGCAAGTCAACCATTGAGCTAGTCAGGGCCACTACTCCATGGGTAAACAGTGACATTGTTTCGCCAATGACCTCGTCAGCAGCCTCCCAAGCAGGACAAAGTCCTCCAGGAGTGTGGGTGGGAAAGGAAGATCTTGTCCAGGAACTCACACGTGAACGCAAACGGAGGCTTAGAGTAAACTTGGTGCCAATAAACTTTCTCTGGTCACTCAATATCCACAGTTACAACGCGTACATGCATAGAGACCTGTGTGTGACTGTGAATAGGGAGGTTCGCAACTAACTACAATGACTTCCACACACGTGAGTAAAGACACACCGATCCTGGCACATCTTGGCATCGACATGACTGTGACTGAGCTGGGGTCATACTGAGATTAATCATTTTGACTGATTGTCATGGACATGGCGATCTAACACTGGGTAGAGATGAAGAGAGTTCCAGTCTTAGAACGTCGCGTTAACTTAATTGACTGCAGTCCTGCAGGTCGTCTCGCTTGCCTGCTTCGTAGGCACGCGATGATTATGTAGGCACATGATGGCTTTCCCCGCGGATACTCAGCAGACATTCGAGATCCACATTGTACACGAACACACACAAACATACACACACACACACGCGTGGGCGCCTACGCATGCACATACACCATCACCGCACACACACACACACACACACACACACACACACACACACACACACACACACACACACACACACACACACACACACACACACACACACACACACACACACACACACACACACATACCAGTGCTCTCACAGACCAATATCATCCTCCAATAATTATAAAATCAGGGAAAGAAAAACTACAAATCTCAAGCTATTCTTCGCCATCATCAGCAATAGTAGTTTTTCTTTCCCTGATAAGCTTCCTGTCTCCACGAAAGTAATTATAAAATCCGGCTTTTATTAGCGTCTACACTCATCTACTTCGAAGTACATTATTGCACAAGATTGGGCATGGCGCGTGTAGTCGATACTGAACTTTGCTACAGTACCTGTAAATACCAATACGGCTGCTGTTGTAGTGTTTGCAGATTCACGCCTTCCATTTCTATAACCACTAGCAATCTATACATACTACATACATACATACATACATACATACA